TATCTCTCACTCCCCCCCCCAATCTATGCCCTTTTGGCCTCTTGCCACCCCACACGTCATCACCCCAGCTCACCTGGATCATCTTCCTTGTTCCTGCTGATGATGAGGCGTGCCTTACCCAATTGCTAGGCAGGGCTGGGACCGGCTTTGCATTGAGAGAAAAGGGGGGGAAAGCCAAAAGCAGACTTTATTTTTATTCTTTAATTGTGAAGCCAGCCCCAGCCATGCCCAGGAGCTTTTTGCAAAGGGACGTTTTGGTGTGCTGTGCCTAAGGGCTGATTCTGGATTTTTTTTAAATTTCTTTGCAGTGTTAAGCCAGTCCTATCCAGCATGGTCTAACAGCCAGGCTGAATAGGCCTCATCAGCACCAGGAGCAAGAGAGGGTAAAGTCAGAAGGGATCTCAGAGTGCAGGGCAGCAAAGGTGACTGGGTTTGGGTGGCTGCAGCTTCCCAGGACGCAGCAAGTAAGCCCAGAGCCAGGCAGTACAGGGGCAGGGTAGCCAAAAGGGCATAGATGGGGGAGGATATGTATGGGGAGATTTGGAGGCAGTCCTTGCATTGGAGTGGTGTGGTGGGATTTCCAGCTAGAGTGGGGGAGGTATGAAGAGGGGTGACCAGGAAGTGATGCAGATCTTACCTCCCCAGAATCCTTGAAACCCTTATCTAGCCATTCTCAAGAATGCGCTTAGTCTGGCGAGTTTCTTGTAAATAGGCATGCAACAATAAATAAGTAGCCTTGATCAGCTCATGGTGTCATTTTGGTTTCTTGTGTCTGGCAGATGGGTCCTCAGTTAATGACTGGTAATGTTCACTTAATGACAACAAGGGGCTTTGTTGGGATTGTAGTCACATGATATCTCACTTCACTACTGAACTTGGGAACCAAAATTCCAGTCCCAGATGTGGCCATAAGTCAAGAACTATTCGTACTTTCAATACAGAGAAAGAGCGCATACGCAGAATATAATTCTTTGGTTGGAAAAAATAATTGATATGTGAAGAAATCCCATGCATGCAAGCATAATAAAGAAATTTGGGTTCAGTCCCCAAAAGATGGATTCAGAAGTCATCATAGGCCAGTGATAATCCCCCCCTTTTTTTCATTTGAAATGGTGTTGGAATTCCTTGTGCCAAACTGGTAAACAATCTGGGAGCAGGTGGCAGCTGTTGCCAGAAGTCCTACAGGGAGCCCCATTTTATATGCCAGTTACAGTATGGCCTAGTTTTGGATTAGAAGGCCCATGGCCCTATCAATCATGGCTTGATCATCTCTCAGTTTAAGTACTGAAACCCACTCCACATGAGGATTCACACGAAGACTATCCCGAAGCAACAACTGGACCAAAATGCAGTTGTGTAATTAGTTACAGGTATCTAGTTTTGCCAATATCACACTACTAAAGTGAGAGCTGCACTACTTAAATATGGATTTCTGGAAGCAACTCAAAATGTTGACTTTAAAGCCCAACATGACCTAGAACTTGTTTTCTGTACATCCAATAAGATATGGAAGGAAGTACTATCTTCAAATACCTACTCTGAGACAGTATCATTATTAGAGGAAATTAGGATGACCTACCTAGAAAGAAAATAAAGATGTGTATATTCCTAAATGTTTAAGAATCCAGTTCTCCTGGTTTCATTGTCATAGCTGTGTTACCCTGGTAGCTACAGAATAGCTGTCTGTAGCTGTAGGAGATGAGGCTGACTTCAGCTGTCAATCAGCTTGCAAACTGAAAATTTAACAAATTTCTCATGAGCTGGTGCAAGCCAGTGCCAGCACACCACTGTCTGCTTCCCTTCTGTGGAATAGAATACTTCCTGAGATAACACAGTCACCATCCTGTAGGGCAGGGGTGTCAAACCTGCAACGTCACCTGACGTGTTGCGACGTATCACGACTTTTTTGCCATTGCCGACAATGGGGTGGGAGTGGGGAATGGGGTGGGAGTGGTTTTGCTGGCAGTTTGACACCCCTGCTATAGGGGTTTAGAAAAATCAGTAAGACTTGCCCATTCCAAAAGATTTCTGGCAATTGACATAACTGGATTCCTTCCTACAATAAAGTTATGGTTTATATGGAATTTGGACTTCCAAATTGCTTTCTGCTTAAGACAGGACTAGAACTCATGGTTTTCCAGTTTCTAACTTGATGCCTTAACTACTATAGCAAACTAGCCTTTTAAATGGTATATAAGCCTACATAAATAACAAAGTAAAACATTTTGTATGTTCTGCATGTGAATGCAAGAGACATGTCATTTATGGACTTCCACTTTGATAGCTGCTGATATAAAACTAGGACTGTTATTTTATATTTGAGCATTGACAATTAAAATTGTCCTTACTGGATCAGACAGATTAAAATTAAGAGCTTGTTGCTAACTGATATCAATTCCATAGATCTGAGCTTGTTATCTTTTTCTCTTTTCAAGAGAAGAAATAAAACAAACATAATTTCCTGCTGAGTGGAGTTTTAGATAGTCTTTCAAAGGCAAATAAATGAAATATAATCCCAAATATGTGTTTATAAGACAACAACCTGAGAAATATGTGGAAACTGATTAGTCAAATATATTTTTTCATGATGTTTCCTTACTATGCTACATTATTTTTTAAAAAAGTTAATTAAGTTCTTGTATCAGAGCAAGTGACAGTGATTCACTATAGCATTTTTTGAAACCAACATCTCTAGCAGAACATTTGCAGTAAGATTTGCAGGACATGAAATAGGCATCTACAAATAATTAAAGGAAATAAGTTAAAATAAAATTCCCTTAGAATCATGCTAAAGAAAGAAGCACTGACTTTTTAAAAAACAACCATAATTTGCAAATTACCATTTTTGCAGTTTTTCATAAGGCAATGTTTTAGATCAGAAAAAGAAATATAATGGGCCATGGTGATCTTTTTTATCAAAATGAATGCTAGCAACATTCATTCTAGCAACATTCATTATATAAACAAGGGAGAAAACTCACAGAATTACATAAAATCCAACTGATCCCTACTCATTTGTCCACTAGGATCACCAATATACTTCACAGACATGAAGGAAACCAATAAGTCATCCATCCAATGCTCAAGAAAATTAAGATATCCTCAGTGGGTTGCTATCTGGCCTGTACTTGAACACATTCAACATAAAGGAGCTTACCACTCCCTTGGTAATTGTCTGTTGTCAACTGTTCGGTTACACATTCTTGCTTAACATTCAACCAGAATCTTCCCATAACTACAATCAATTATTCCCTGTCCTGCTTACTGAATTGGTAGAGAATAGAACTTACCCTTCTTTATGACAACCCTTCAAATACTTAAAGACTGTTATTGTATTCCCTGTCAGTGGGAACTTAATTGCATTCTGGTCCATGGTCACAACAATGCAAATAGTTCCTTGTTTAATTTTGTTTTCTTTTTCTGCCTAATTTTGGATATTAAGACTACTGACAATTTTCTAAATCTTTTTTAATGATATGTTTTGTTTATTCTTTATAAATATAAATACCATAACAATAAAAAAATGTTGAACACAGTCAATGACTGCATCCGTTTATTGGTTTGTCCTTAAAAATGATAAATAATGGGTTGCTTGCAATGTCAGATATCGCCTATCAGTCCTTAGTTCAATTACCCCATCATTCCAATTCTGAACATTATTTTCTAATTAAGAAAACAGTGGAAGAAGCAGTGGGAAAAAACGTACAGATATAACATCACAGATGAAGGTGACCTCATTTGGACCCTCTATGCCAGACATGTCAAACACAAGGCCCGAGGGCCAGATGCAGCCCGCGAAGTGGTTTCATGTAGCCCGTGAAGCCATCCTGCTGCTTTGGCCATGACCCAGGCTGGCCGGGAGCCAATGTACAATTTTGTGGTGACCATCTATGCTGAAATGTATTCAGTCTTAGCTCCACAAGGCCATCTGGAAACAGCGAGGAACCAGCCGCTGCCGCGTCGCTCCCGGCCCCCTGGGTGCATGCTGGGGAGGTGTCACCCTTTGTGAGGAATGAAGAAATGTACCATCACCTGGAAGTGGCCAGCAAATGGCCCTTGCCTACTTCACATATCCGGCTTGATGGGCTCTGGGGGAGGGGTTTTGACAGGCTCTTCCAGTGGACCATAACTTGGTGCTTGCCCTGGTCCCACCCCCTTCTGCCAGAGACCCTCAGATCTGTCCCACTCCTGCCCAGGCCCCCACAGGCACCCTTGACGTGAACGATGTAGAGCTGGCCATGCCTACCCAGTAGGCCACACCCACCATAGGCTGTGCTTACTCTGGCCACACCTACTCACCCACCCAAGGACAACTGCAATGCTGATGCGGCCCTCAATGAAATTGAGTTTGACACACCTGCTCTATGCAATTCTGTAAAAGATTTGTTCCTTGAATATTCTATCCTGCCCTATTATTGTTGGAAAGTTCTGACCAAAGTTTTGTCCAAGAGTTCCATATAGAGATAATGTTTATTTATTTCAAAAGCTGCAATTCATCCATAACCATTTCTCTCTAGGTTTCTCCATGATTCATCTATTAATGACTGCATGATATTCATAATATATAAAAACATATTTATAAAATCAGCAACCCTTTTCTCAGCACCATGCTTTATTCCCCCACAATCTAGTAGGAAAAGGACAATTCAAAGACCTCTCCCTGTTTGAGCTGCATTCCAGTTCCACTTGTATAATGTTGCCCTCAGGTTAAGTTGTAATAAAATGCATCTAGGTTCTGAAGAATTAAATACTAGTTCAACTGGAAGTGAAATAAATTGTATTCAGTAAATGATCCTATAGCAAGAGGAAATTAAAGTTTAATCTTCTCTTTCAAATGCTTAAATATAAGACATTAAAACTATAAGAAACCAAAAAGCCATAAACCAAAAAATAATTAACATCCATAGAAAGGAATACCCAAATTAATAAGCAGTGGTGATAACAACATATGTACAAAATATTACTGAACCAATCATAAAGTATGCTTTAGGGCAGCTTACCTTTCACAAGCTCTGACAGTCCATGCAGCAATTATCCATAAGGAGATACTAAAAACCAAAAGTACAGTTCCCGGGCATATTGTCATTAAAGTTTTCATAACAAAACGTGTATTGAAGTTGATCTTGTTTAGTGCTCCAATGCTTCTGGATGAGGCATCAGTGAAAAGTTTGCTATGCAAAAGCATAACTCTGGCAATAAGATAAAGTCTCAGGAACATAGGTATGGATAAAATTATATCCACATCTGCTATTGTTGTAGATGGGGTATAGGAGAAGGCAAGACGAGCTGTCCATGTAAAAGTGTAGTTGCCAGGGATAGGATGAATAGCACATACCAAAATTTCCAAGCAGATGAAAAAAATGCGCTCATAAGTCATGGCTATTCTCCAATCATCTGCTCCATTGTCCACCATAAATAGCTGGAAAAGAAATGGTGACGTTCAGTATTAGAGAAAGATTAGCTTTAACAAATACGAAAAATTATATTTTGAATAATACTTACCCTCTAAAGTAGTGTTTCTCAACCTCACCAATTTTAAGACATGTGGTATGGACTTCAGATTCCCAGAATTCTCCATTCTTCATGCTGGCTGGGAAATTCTGGGAGTTGAAGTCCACACATCTTAAAGTTGCCATGGTTGAGAAGAAGCCCTGCTCCAAAAGATAATCTAAGGCAGCCTATCTTATCATTTAAATGGGTTTCAACTGTAGCAAATGATGTAAACTAGGAATGTTTTGTGCATGAATACTCGTATAATCCAGCAAGATCAATGGATTAGAAAAATCATAAATGAAATATGACCCAGGTTAAAACTATTCATATTTATCTAGTTTATTTTATTTTATTTTGCTATTAGGACTGTCACCAATATGTATGTTAGCCTGTACTTTAAAAAATAATTCTGCTTTCTTGCTCCTTTTTTCTCAGTGGTGATAATTAAAGCACCCAGAGCAATCCATGATTATTAAAGGTATACTCTGCTTTTTTACAAATTCATTTTGATAACTATATTGAAGTGAAAAATTAAACTATTTTTAAAAAGCAACTTTTAATGACTCTTTTTTCCTATGCAAATGAGAATAGGAATTATCAGAGCATATTTATCTAGTGCATACTTATCAGTGTATAAATTTATCTAGAAATAAATATTCCCATTAACTCATTAGGGCTCTTAGGTAAACATATAATGGAGTGAAGACTATATTTTTAAAAGCAGTATATAACCAAATCTTTCCTAAAGATTTTAAACACTTGCTTCAAAAATGTCACACATTGATTGCTCCCTAATTTATTTACAGGGGGAAACCAATCAATCTATTATTGTACTGGTGATGTGGCAATCAATAAAAAAATGTTTAAAAACAACAATAACTCAGCAATTTTACTATTAGTAACAAATTCAAATTCAAGATATCTTCCCAATAAGGTTAGGTGTATTTCAGAAACAATCAACCAAATTTAATGGAAATAGTCTTATCAATATACTACACTACTTAAATTTTCTTATGAAAATTAATTAAATACATGTTGTTTTATCTTCCCAACCCATCTCACAGGGTTGGTTGCTGTGGGTAAAAAAGGAGGTGGAAGATGTTGCCTCCATGAGTTATTTGTGAAAATAATAAAGATGGTGTGTGTGTGTGGAGAGGGAGAGAGGGAGAGAGGGAGAGAGAGAGAGAGAGAGAGAGAGAGAGAGAGAGAGAGAGCCTGGTAGCCGTATTATCTGGTCCAATTATTAATTTATCAACTCTAGAACTTTAATTTAAATTTAAATTTGGAGCAGATGAGGTCCTTAGTAGTAAAATTATCACATTTACTATTCTACCATTTTGTTACAATTGAAAACAAGTCATTACAACAGTTCCACACTCATATTGTTTGGCCTATTCAGACATGTAACCAGCTCTTATTTTTCCTGGTGCAGCAGGAAAAAATATGAACAAATATGAACTTGGTGTTGAACATCTGTCTCCAATAACAATGCAATTCCTGTACCACTGGCTTCTACTTGGTCTAAAATAATTATAAAATTGGCATAAAGATCATTTAATTGTTCAGGGAAGAACTTTTAAGGCCTATACTATACTATAATCTCAATATCAAATATGGATCATGATGACATAGCCATTTATCTTCTATTAGAAAATAAACTATTATTTTGGTAAATTGGATAAACATATTCAAATTTAGTGCTCTTAAATATCAACATAATAATCTTCTGTGATAAAAATATTTCTGTCTTAGCGCAAAGTGAGGTTTTACATTTTATTGGAGTAAGAAAATATTTTTAATTTTAAAACATGGTTGTTAAGAAGAAACTTTAAAAAATAAAAATTGGCACAGGCAATTTAGAATGTCTGGATTTAGAAGTATATACAGATTATACAGAGATTATAGAGAAAGGCAATTTGTTTCTGACTCTTAATAAAAATAATCAGCATTCTCAGGAGTTATGGGAGTTGTTTGGTTATATGTTTAAATATATCTTTTAATTGTTTTCTGTGTATATATAAATAGAAAATAACATTCATGCTACGTCTTTCAAATAATTCATTAAACAGTTAGGTAACAAGCAATTCAAGTATAATTCAATTCAAGATAAGACTGCTGATGAGAAAGTAAACAATGTAGTGCAATAGAACACCACAAATGTTAATTTATGAAGTCAGCTGTTTGGTGGGGAAATAGAAAACAAAGTTATTACTCCACATTAATCCAATGGTTTAAGGAGAAGAAGTAATAGAAGTGTTTACCCCTTTCCACAGACTGCTGAATTGTCCTGTCAACAATGAATATTCTAGGAGTGTTCAGAATGGTTCTCTTATTCCTGAGTAATCATATTTTTGATATAATGATCTAATAAAGATATTCACATCTGAATTATCAAAACAATTTAAACAATTGTACTTTTAATGTGGAATATTTTAGAAATTCTATTCTTTATATAGTTTAGTTTTTTTCTCTATTTTTTTGTTAGCAGCAATGCTATGTCATCATCAATACCATAATCCTAGTTTAAAATCAACACATGTTTTTATTTCTGTTCCTAACTTCATTCCCTGCTCTGTTCATCATTCTTGCATCCTGATAAGCCATGGTTTCATTTACAGAAACATATTGCCTGAGATTACAGAATATGTGAAACCAAAATCAACCCAGATACATTAAGATTTGGCATCATATGTCCATTAGTCCTTATGATAGGATCATGTCTGAACTCAAACAGGTCTATTATTTTCCCCCGAATAGTAACCCTTATCTTTGGGGAAAAGATTATCCAAAACTATATGATTAACTATTTATTTCCTAACATAACTTTAAATCAAGAGTTTCTTTTTTAAAATACAACACAACATTGTAATAACAATGCACTGTAATAGTTAACTATAATATGCAAGATGAGTATATGTTTGTTGCTGTACATACTGTCTTGATATAACAAGCACGGAGACCAAGTGTATTTTTCCTTTTTCTTACCAAATTGTAGTTGTAATGGAGATGATAAAGTATACAACATACCTAAAGAGATTACACAGAAATCTATGGCATAATTCTGAATATTCATGATCAAGATAAAATATATAATTATTATTAACGTTTTTGGTTCTGTCTATTCAGATTAGAATATTAATCAGATTTATGCATCTAGGTTTATAAACAAAAATAAGATGTTATCTCATTCTTATTTGCAGAACATAGAAGAATGTAGTCTCTTTTTACTGTCTCAATTCACATAATTTTAATTTTCAATATCCAATTAATGAACAATATTTATACCTATATAACATAAAAATTGTAAAACAACCTATTGCCACAAACAAAATGAAAAACAGAAAATAAAAAGGGAAATTACTAGAATTAGAACCTTAAAGACAATAAAATCATCTATACCGTTCTGTCACAGTTAATTCCGGATAAGGAAAAATAAGAGTATTTCCATTTATATTTTTAAAGAGAACATGAACTAAATCATTTTCTGCATTATGTTTTACTGGATCTAGTTTTGCTATAATGAATATATGAAATCATGTATTTGCTGAAATCAAAGCAAGAATGTGTCAGAGCTTTTTCATTATGATTAAATTTTGTAGTCCCATGGTGCTCACCAGAGCAGACAGATGAAGTATAAATCAAATCAAATCAATCAGTCAATACCAATACACATTTTTTAAAAACTCATCATCTATCACAGTATGTCACAGACTAATCCCAAAGCTTCTAAAGTGTATAAACACACATACACACAAACACACCTAAACCGGAAAACACGAGAAGTAAAGTACAGGGTCAGTACAATGAATTGATAGAGAAAGATGAATAAAGACTACAGAAAGAGGGCAGGAAACTGACAATATGGCTGAATAACTAGGGATCCATTGTCAGCAATAAACTCTTTAAAAAAATGGATTTGTCTCCCAAAACTTTTCCAAAAGTTAGTAGTCAATTGTACTATTATGGAAGAATGGAAATGAATAAATCTCCTGTAGATATACATATTATATTTTAAGACAATATGCTATTTGCTATTTATTAAAGCAGACCATCTTTTTTCATCTGTTTTGTGAAAGTCTAAATGAACTATTTTAAGAGGCATATTGACATAAATAAATCAATTCCTAAAGCAGACATATCTGAAAAACATTTTAATGGATAGACAAAAAATACTGAGCACAATGAAGTCCAAACCACTTTCTTCTAAGTCTTTTTTAAAGTTTGCATACTCTTACTACTATATTTAACTAATTCAATTTGCTCAAAATTAAATTGTGTTGAAATTAGTTTTTGTTTTCCCTCTTTGGTGTTCCTATGTGTATATGTGTATCTCCTTAACAGGATGAAAAAGAAATAATCTAAAATATAAATGTTTTTAAAGCAATTAAATCTAATACTAAATTATGATAGGCTTTCCTCCTATTTTATTGCTTTTCTCTGTTTCAATAATGTTTCAGTCAATAACTTGGCTGCCTTATTCATTTCTTATGTAATAATCCTAAACAGATACAACAGATACAATATCAGCTCCAGTTCAGACTCCTTCAGTAAAATGCCCCACCAAACCATATGTATTCAATGGAAACACATGGGAGGCAAAACTTAATGGTACCAGCATACAAATAATATGATTTATGTGCTTGCATCCAGTATCATCACAGCATTACATAATTGCTTAATTATTGCATAATGATATTGAGATGCATGTGTCATCATTCTGAAACCAGTGTGTTTTGTTCTGACTGTACATAGCTGGGTTTTTTCTTCAAGACAATAGAAGGACTATTTGGAAAACTACAATAGAATAGAATAGAATAGAATAGAATAGAATAGAATAGAATAGAATAGAATAGAATAGAATAGAATAGAATAGGAGCTGGAAGGGACCTTGGAAGTCTTCTAGTCCAGCCCCCTGGTCAAGCAGGA